GAAATTTCTGTCATAATAGAAATTCTATAGATGTTATACCTATTTCAAATTATGTGACTGAGGTGAAAGAATGAAATGAAAATACAATTATTTTTCTGTATTAAGCTAGGAAAATTTTAATCACACTGTATAGAAAGTGTATTACCCTTTTACGGATCATAGCTAACAATCACTATAATTCGTCAGTTCCTCGGTTGTGGACTGTTCACTATTTAAGAGCATTTCAATTACTAAGCCTGTGTTTCATTGTACATTCAGCAATTAAACGTGTGTTGTTATGTGAGGGCGTACCTGTGTCCTTTTTTTTTATCGACTTTGGTCGTTTCGTTCCAATGTTTCCGAGAAAAATATGAAGGGAATAATTTCGCTTATATAAAAATGAAACATTCCTACTCCATTCTCACCCCTTTTAATAAAACCTATTGCTTCCAGGGACCTTTTCCCCTGAACATATTCCAAATTTACAAATAGGTATTAATATCAGACCGCAAAATGCTGAATGCTTTAAAAATTATCATAAAAATATTTATACTAAATTTTAAACACGCAGTCTACAAAGAAGAAAGTCGTCTTCTGGGTTTTGGCGCCGTGTATTATTCGTTTTGGCCGACGTTTCGGAGGAACGTATCGCCTCCATCTTCAGAGCAGGTGAATGGCTTGTGAATGCAGAGAGCAGTAGGCGCCAAAACCCAGAAGACGACTTTCTTCATAGTCATCGCCGTGAAAACCTCAAAACTTACGCAGTCTACAGTTTGCTTTTTAGCGTGGCTCGTCCGCGGAAAGCCTGCACTAGCGTTTTAAAAAATCTCGAAACTGCGTCCCTCAGCCGAAGAGCAGAGGTTTCCGTCGTGCATGATCCTCACGAACTCACGCGTTACTGAAACCTTCCCTGCAGCAAAGATGCCTTCACAATGGAAACCTTTGTCCCATTTGTTACACCCTTAACTACAAACACGACTTCATTCCATCTTTTAATTTTCGTTTTTGAGCTTATTTCCTAGAAAACATTTGTTTCTATCAGTTATTTCGCTCCACATTCATTCAACAATGGCTCTACAGCCCTTTGTTGGGCCCTGATCTTTTCTTCAGTTCCGTAACCTTTTTTACACAGACGGTAGGACTCCTTGGACGAGTGAACAGCACTTCACAGGGCCGCTACCTACACACAGGACAACAGAAATACAGAATAAACGCATATACAGATATTAATGCCTTGAGTGGGATTCGAACCTACGAACCCAGCTTTCGAGCCAGCGAAGACAATTCAGTCAATTTGTCAGTCGGTATAGCGACAGGCTACGGGCTGGAAGGCCGGGGTTTGAATCCCGGCAGAAGCAAGATTGTTCTCTACACAAGGTCAAGAATGTCTCTGAAGACTATCCTGCCTCCTGTCCAATGGCTCCCAGACCTATTTCCCTGGAGATAAAGCAGCCGGGGCGTGAAGCTAACCACTCACCCCCATCTAATGTCTAGGTCAGGAATTGTGGAAGTGTACCTCCACTATTCTATATATCTTCATGGAAGAGAGTTTAATTAATTAAGCAGAGGGACAGCTTCGACCGCCTCTGTGGTCTAGTGGTCAGAGTTCCTGCTTACAGACTCATAGGTCCCGGGTTCGATTCCCGGCGCTACCAGATTTTCTGAGAAGTAGTGGGTCTGAAACGGAGCTCACTCAGCCTCGTGAGGATAATTGAAGAGATATTTCAAGGAAATAGCAGCTCCGGTGTAGAAAATCGAAATTAACGGCCGTGGGGATCCGTTGCGTGACACCCTCTGTCCGCGAAAGTTGGCACTAACTTCGTCGACAAGCGGCGGTCGCTCCCTCGGTATAGTTCGCTTGCGGGCTAAAGCCACGGAGGGGCAGCTTAATAATTTTTCTAACTAAATTTTGACTGGATAGTGTTGGATGAGGTAGAGAAATGATCACGAATGTTGGGTAAGTAAGGATTTACATGATAACGGTCATGATAATTCACACCTTAACATCAAGAAGCATCAGAAAGCATCATGGTAGCCAGTAACCCAGTACAAATTCGAAACAAGAAAGTCCAGCCTTAGAGTACGGATGTAGAATGTTACGGCTCCCCGACTCTGCTCAGGATATTTTACAGGGGGGGGGGGGGCAGAAACTAATTTCCTTGTGTGCGGTTAGTCGCTGGCTTCCGGGTTCGAGTCCGGGTCTGGTCAAGTGGGATTTGTGGTGGACAAAGTGGCACTGGGGCAGGTTTTATCCGAGTATTTCGGTTTCCCATGCCAATCTTCATTCCACCAAATTCTCCATCATCATAATCACCCAGGGCAGGTACAATAGGCTAATCAGTGGCCGACATGCCTACTGAACCCAGCTGGACTCACCCCCCCACATTACGCGAATTAAAAAAATCTTCCTTGTGCCATCGACCTAACAGCAGAATGGAATATGAAAGACGTCTAACTGTTTACATACCCTACGGAATCTCCTCCTGATATTCATTGGCCGAAGTATCAAATTATAACATTTCGGTACTTTTAACTCTCTTATCAGCTACATTTTTTGGGGGGCTTTATGAGCCCCAGTTCCCTCCCACTCCAATCGGATTCGCATAAAGTCCAAACAATGACATTGAAAAGCTCTCAGTCCAGAGCTCGTTTCAACGGATCTCTCTAAAAGTTTATTAACATCGAAATAATTTATATAAAAACGGCTTATGCTTCAACCTGGAAACAGAAACACGGGATTAATATCGGCTTCTCTTGTTCGGAACAACATGTACAGTGATATCGGTGGAATTAAATGAACACAAACGATTCTGCGAACAGCTAAACATATCGTACCAATGAATGAAGGGACAAGGGCTGGCCATTTGCAGTTCCCAAGCATCCAGTTGAAATCCGTTTCTGATAAAATATATTTTCAGCATAATATTTTGTGGACAAAAGATGTAAACTAATTATTTTTTTATTATTTTGCTTCCTTCACATCGAAGTTGGCGAATCCAGGATCTTCTCTGTTATTCCATCTCGTCATTTGTCTCTCTTTGTTTCCCGTCTTCTGCTCCTTCTGCTCGTGTCTGCCACCCGTTGCGTGTCTCTCTTGTGGTCTCCGTGCTCGCTGCGTCTCTCATATACGCATGAGGTCCAGGCTCATTTGCGTTTCCAGTTTCAAACTCACTGACCCAAATAAAATTTACAATTTGTGATGATGATGATGATGATACACTAATACAAATGTAATATTTCTGGGCATTGTCCACCGTCCTGTCTTTATTTTTCAAAACAGAACATTTCGAAGATTGGATTCTGTATCCGTCTTCAGGTAAGACCTACTCAGTTGGAACCAATAGATAGAGTTAGTCCCTAGTCCCATCGCCTTTACCTAACTAAGTAGGTTTTACATGAAGAAGGACGCAGAATAAACGTCACCGGGGCACGTGGTAGCGTAGTGGTTGAGGCACTATGCTACAAGCCGGAAAGTCGCGGGTTCAAGTCCCGATGAGGTCATTGAATTTTTTTTCAATTGACCTAATCCTTCCAGCCGCACTATGGCCCTCGGGTCGACTCAGCCTCTAACATAAATGAGTACCAGCAATTAATTATATAATTTTCCCGGCGAGTAAAGCGCGGCCGGCGCGTAAGGCTGACAACCTTACCGCCATCTTTGAGCCGATTGTCTAGATAATGTGGGACCCTCAACGTCTCACAAACCTATGGGCCTTCAGGGCCTGGTACAGGGATAGCTTTATTTTTATTTTATTTTTTTTACTTTGCAAGAGAAGTAAACTCTACATCAAGTTTAATTAGAATCTGCCATGGGACTGTAAAGATAAGTAAACTGGACTTCAAACTCAATTAACCTGTCGAAAATTACATGTGCCTATGAAGAGTAAAGTTTGTCAAGTTTTATCAGAATTTGCCAAGCGAGTCAACATATATATACTCGTATATAATTTCATTTAGGATTCTTCGGTAAAATTAAAGGGAGTGAAATATCATGTTATTAATGATCATATTCATAAAGATATTGCGCACAAAGTTTAATTAAAATCTACCTAAGTGTTCAAAAGATTATCGTCATAATAATAAGCTACTCGAAGGTACGCTGTTATTAGCCCTTTCCATCTCAAAGACCGCCCTTCCATCGTTCTCTTGATCGACCAACATTTCTTCGACTGTCTTACTCGTAATTTTTAACTTTCTGAGCCTGTCTCGATGTGAATATGCCACATGTTATGTTTCCTCTAACTAATATGTACTTAATACAGAGTTAAAAATTTACATAATATTTCAGTAAGGGTCCAAAAGAAAGTGGCCCTTAAAATTAATCAAATAAAATCTGAACCGAAATTGCTGGACAGATGTTACTCTATACATGTAGCACGCCAGTTCAGTCGAAATCGGTTCCTTAACTTGGGCGCTGTGACGTACTGATAGACTAAGTTTAGATGTGACGAAAGAGACAGATGCTTTCCCAATTGCTTCTCGAAAGGAACACTATGCTAAGGAAAGCGAGTAACAGGTGACTGAAGAAAATTACATAACAACTCCACTAAATTACAAAACAAGGAGCTTCGTGTAAGATTTGATGCTTTCACGGCGGTGACTATGAAGAAAGCAGTCTTCTGGGATTTGGCACCGTGTATATGTGGTGTTAACCGACGTTTCGGAGGAACGTACCGCCTCCATCTTCAGGGTAGAAGAAAAAATATAAGAAATCCGGAAGCAGACCAGTCTGCTTTTACCGGTTCTCACGGTCTCTTCGCTTGCGGATTTCTTATATTTTTTCTTCTACACTGAAGATTGAGGCGATACGTTCCTCCGAAACGTCGGTTAACACCACATATACACGGTGCCAAATCCCAGAAGACTGCTTTCTTCGAGGAGCTTCGTGTCTGACAATTCTCAACAAATATTATTATCCTGATCAAATCGAGGGCGATACGTTCAGTGGTTGAGGATGGGGTAGGTAAACACAATAATGAAACTTCACGTGCCACAAGAGGTCAGGAACCTGGTGTACTCACCTGTCGGAGCCCGAGCTCCTCACTTTGCCTGGCAGTAGAGGCGGACCCGGGCCGCGCTGTACCCGAGCCGAAGCCCCGCAGGGTGACGCCAGTTTCCCGGAGGAGGCAGAGGCTTCACCATGGTGCAGCTGGTCAACGTTCCTGCGCCGTTCGACCCGTACATCTGTTGCACTGCAACCCGTCAGTCTCACGCACTCAACACAGCAGGCGAAACGTGCCAAGCACTGCATTCCATTCTCCACAGCTCAATAACCCACCTCCACAAATTACACAGGATTCCCTTGGAGGTAACTCCGTGCTAACGAATAATGTATGCTCTTGCAATACTAATGGACATTTCAACCTACTTCGCTTTCATGGCGAAACGTGAAAAGCCAAAAAGAAATGTTAAGTATAACGTAACCTGCGAGTGCATGACGTTAAAGATTACGTTAATCTAATACCACTATTGTTTCTGGAAATTATCCGTCGTCTGTTTACATTTAAAACACAACGTTTCGGAGACTGGGTTCTGTCTCCGTCTTCACGTGGAACTCAGTTGGGACCAATCGACAGAGCCAGTCTGTATCTCCGGAGAGAGAATCCAATCTCAGGAACGTCGTGTTTTAAACAGAAATAGGACGATGGATAATGTCAATCGATTATTGTACTCGCGGTAGCGTAGTTCGTTAAGACACTATGCTACAAGCCGTAAGGGCGCGGGATCGAATCCCGATGAGGTGGATTTTTTCATGTTACCTTTTCTTTCCAGCCGCACTTTGGCCCTGAGGTCGAGCCGGCCTCTAACAGAAATTAGTACCAGGAATATTCTTGGAGGTAAAGGGCGGCCGGCGCGTTAAGCTGACAATCTCACCGCCATCTGCGAGCCGATTTTCTAGAGAAGATGTGGGATCCTCAACATCTCACAACCCTATGGGCCTCCACGGCCTGTTACAGGGATAGCTTTACTTACTTTACGTATGCATTTGGTCGTCGACTTAGACCGGCCGCACTTACGACCACAAAAAAAAAGAAAAATAAAAGATGATTAAAATGTAAAAGTTTTTAAAAATAAATTATAAAGATGATAAAAAGATCAGAAAGATTATAAAATACTGTTAATAAATGTATGGCCGACATACGACCTGGCAGTCAGAATGGAAGTCGGTCGTAAGTCGACGACCAAGTGTATTATATTTATTATACTATACGTACTATTATTATTATATACTAATTTTATTATATTATACTCAAAACAACAACAACCGGAAGCACAGGTACAGCAACAAGCAATGGCAACAATAGTTAAGAAACAAGGGAAATACCCACAGTAGCGGATATCTTTGCAACACGAAATGCGTCGACGGGAAAAGGATGACGTTGCACGTGTTGATATTAGCCGGGAAAACCTGCACAAATGAAGTAGATGGAAGGAGAAGATATCAGGGGCAACCTGGGAGCATTCAGAATGCAACGAAGCAATTAGCATGCATTGCGGCCCCGACTTCACCGTTGCAGTGTTGTTACACTTGCATTCTGATCTACATCTAACTAACATCTAACATCTAACTAATTCCATAAAAGAAGGGTCTTTTTTGACAAGCTTCTAGTTACTTAGCTGGCCAATAAATATGTACCGCCCACCCCGAGCTCCACATGTCATCGAAATAGCATATCAAGTAGTTTAGGGGATAGAGCTAAGGAGAGACAGACACAACCTAACCATTTTGCGTTCATTTTATAATTTTCACGTAAATGAGGCACAACTAAAGAGAATCAGACCCCGTGTATTTCCACTAGCGCTTTCTGAATATTCCAACAGAAATAACTGAATATATTAAAGAGTCAAATTTGGAGATTATATTGAAGGGAAATTCTGCCATTAACACATGTTAATATACGGTACTTTATGGACCTAAGTTCCAATAACTTACTTACTTACTTACTTACTTACTTACTCATGGAGCTGAGCCCTTCTGGAGGAGCCGTCAATTCTGCAGCTTCTCAAGCATCTCCCAGCGTTTTATGGAAACCGAAGGTTCATTACCGTGTTCACAAGAGCCCTCCACTGGTCCCTATCCTGAGCCAGATCAATCCAATTCATAACATCCCATCGTATCTGTCTAAGATCTATTTTAATATTGTCCACCCACCTACGCCTTGGTCTTCCCAGTGATCTCTTCCCTTCTGGCTTTCCCACCAATATCCTATACGCATTGCTCGTCTCCCCATTCGTGCTACATGCCCTGCCCACCTCATCCTCCGTGACTTGATCATTCTAATTATACGTGGAGAAGAGTACAAGTTGTGAAGCTCTTCATTATGCAGTTTTCTCCAACCTCCTGTCACTTCATCTCTCTTCGGTCCAAATAGTCTCAATTTCCTGTTCTCAGACACCCTCAGTCTATGCTCCTCCCTTAATGTCAGAGACCCATACAGAACCACAGGCAAAATTATAGTTTTGTATATTATAATTTTTATGTTTTTGGACAGCAGACGAGAAGACAAAAGGTTCTGGACTGAATGGTAGCAAGCATTACGCAAGTTCCAATAACACATTTTAAATATGCTTCGCCCATGATAAGCTGTAAGCACGGGATATCTTAAGCAGCGAAATTTATTCATAATATTCCTTAATGACGTTTCTCAGATGAACAAATGTTGCAGAATCTAAGTGGAGGATAAATTTGACTGCGAAATAGAAGGAAGCGTTCGTTGGTTACTATTTACAATTATTTTATTAGAGTCCGTCGCAAGACAACAATGCAATGATCAAGGCTAAAATTAGCTCAGCTACATATTTCCGCTATTAAAGCCATCATCAGGCAAACGTATGGTTACTATTGTTAAAACTATTCCAGATTTCGTTGCAAATATAGGAAAACTACAATTCTTATGCACAAGAATCGAAGACGTGACCTCTCGAATATGTAACATGTCGGTCATCCATTCAACATCAAGTTTCAGTATAAGTGATCGAAGGTTCTTTACCCTTTTTCTTCTGGCGTTAAAACGGCCAGAGCGTGAATCTCGCTACTATTTCCATGTAGTACTGAAGTCCGCAATATATGAAATCATAACCAGACCGCCAAGTTGCTGGTTCTTACTTAAATTTAACTACGTTTACGTGAAGATTTTCCAGCAGCTGCCGCTTTCATTTTGTGCTTTGCACCGAACTCTATGTGCCTTGATACTTTGATATTTGCCATTCCACCTTCTCATTATATGAGATGACTAGACAGAGAGATATTACATTTAAGATACTGACAGTGAAGAGGTCGCAAAATAACTGAATCACAACAGACAGTTCAGAACTTCCTAGAAACAATCCCTTTTCGAAATCACCAGACAAGTTTAAATTGAGGTGAAGTCGAGAATTTACGATACTTTATAAGACAGTGATTTAAAAGTTATCGACACAAAAAAAACAATCTCCGTGGTTTCAGTCCGCAAGCGAATTATACCAACAGAGCGACCGCCGCTTGTCGGCGAAGTTAGTGCCAACTTTAGCGGATAGAGGGTGTCGCATGATCAGTGCAACGGATTCCCGCGGCCGTTAATCTCGGTTTTATAGACCGGAGCCGCTACTTTTCGATTCAAGTAGCTCCTCAATTATCCTCACGACGCTGAGCGGAGCCCGTTCCAGATCCACTACTTCTCAGAAAATCTGGGAGCGCCGGGAATCGAAACCGGACCTCTGGATCTGTAGCCAGGAACTCTGCCCACTAGACCACAGAGGCACTGTAACAGTTATCGGCAGCAAGAATTGTAATGAACATTATATCACCCCCCTCGTGTTTACTTCTTGTATGTTTCTTCCAGCGGGGACTCTTGGTTAACTTGCATATAGCCCGGTATTTCCTATTGCACTTTTCAGTTACACACTACTCACAACTGCGGGAAATTCTGGTCATTAAATTTAGAACATATCTCAGAGGATCTTTATACATAACGTTCCACGACTAAATGTGAGTGGTTCAGGGGTGTGGTACCAAGGTCATTCCCAGTCAGAAATATCACATGAACCTGGGTCTGATTTTCTGCAGTTAGCTAAGAAAAGTAAAGCTATCCTTGTAAGAGGACCTGGAAGGCCCAGATGGTTGTGAGACGTCGAGGCTCCCATATTTTCTCTAGAGAGTTGACTCACAGATGTCAGTAAAGTTGTCAGCTTTACGCACCGGCCGCCCTTTACGCTCAAGAAGATTCGTGGTATTCATTTCTGTTAGAGGCTGAATCGACCCCAGAGCCACAAGTTTTGCCTATCTGTATGATCGATTGAAAGGAAAACTCCTCCCACTCATGACGTATAGCCTTCTGAAACTGCTCTCTCTAAATTCTGAACGTCAGTTTACACATCCTTTATGGAAACGAATGGAATGCAATAGTTGGCTGACATCAGGATAAAACTCTCGCCATCACTCCGGTGTCAGTATGTGTGAGACTTACATGGGAATGACGCATTTGGTGGCTGCTGCTGCGTGGACTGGAGGTGTGGAGGTCGGCCGTGGTGACTGTCACGCCGACAGATGCAGACGGCTAGGGCAACCACCGCTGCGCATATAATCAGGACGGTGCTCACGACCACCACGACGAAGATGAGGGAGTTCATGCCCAGCACCGAGCCCAGCTCGTTCGCTGCAACAGAGTTAATAAGCTGCAATACACCTCACATAAATACATAACATTATCTCATTTACCCTGATAGTGGTGGCAGCAGGATTCACAGACAACTCGGGAACCACCTATGGAACTATACGTGGTATCATAACGCAGAAGACTAAATTTTCATAGCAGTGAAAATAAAACCATCAAGTTTCCATTCTTGTAGTCAAATTGTTAAAACTACCTAGCAACGTAAACGGGTTTACCGAGCCGTTGTCCAAAGACGACCTTGTATATTCGCCTATCTCGCGGTCATTGCATAGCTACGGCTCTATACGCTACAATATTGAATGTTCTACGTTAACTTTTAATTGCTAGTTGACTTTACAGATTGTATAATGTCTAGCATGAGAATCTGACTTCCACTTCCTCACTCCCTCCGACTCGCACAGGCAACTGGCACAAGTTCTACTTCCACTTTCCTCACCCCCTCCGACTCGCACAGGCAACTGGCACGAGTTCTACTTCCACTTTCCTCACCCCCTCCGACTCGCACAGGCAAATGGCACGAGTTCTACTTCCACTTTCCTCACTCCCTCCGACTCGCACAGGCAACTGGCACGAGTTCTACTTACGCGTGCAGCCATCACTGCTCAGCTCGTCCGAGCCGTCTCCACAGTGATTCACCTCGTCACATACCAGGTCGGTGTGTATGCAGATTTCCCGGTTACACCTGAAGTCTTCACACGTGTGTTCTGTAAAAACAAAACATGGCAGAATTAGACTACTGGGCTCCGGACGATGAAAAATATAAGTTCGTTCTCTTTTACTACCCAATTTACACATAGCGTTATCTGTATAGCGACTGGCTACGGGCTGGATGACCGAGAGATCGGAGTTCGAGAACCGGTAGGGTCAAGAATCTGCTCTTCTCCACGTCGTCGAAACAGGCTCTGAGGCCCACCCAGCCTCCTAGCCAATGGATACTGGGGGTCTTTTCCAGGGAGTAAAGCGCCCGGGGCGTGAAGCTAACCATTCTCCTCCTAATAGTTTCGAGGTCAAGAAAATATGAATCTATTCAATCACTCTCCTCATACGCCTTCACGGCTGTGCTTAATTACTTAAGCACAGGGACAACATTAATTTTACCTTACTATAAACAGGCGCTGGGCATTAGAAGCTGCTGTCAAGCAACGGCTAGTGGAGACTGTAACAAACTGAGAACACTAGCCTGTGTGTGACAGTGATTTGTAAAGTGTAGCCACGAGTTGTGAGTTAAAGAGTTAATAAATCCGATTACCAAACAAAAACCCAACTGTAGTCACTCAGACGTGAAAATGCTTTCATTTCCTTTAAATATGAACCAGTGCTCTTTCAACAGGTACAGATAAGTACGTCATTAAGACGTATGGGGAAGTAAAGGTATAGCTTCACCATTCTTAACCTCGACACTAGAGAGACAAGCGGTCAGCTTCACACTCCTACTGCTTTGCCACAGGAGAAACAGAAATCAGCTGACAACACATACTCGTAGGAGTCTGGGTGGGTTCCGACGCCGGCCTGGACGCTACATAGAAGACACTAATCTCTTATTTTTGCCTGAAAACAAACATCGATTCCTCGGTCGTCCAGCCCATAGCTTAGACGTTATGCCGATCGAGCAATTAAATATGAACTGTTTTTTTCAGTGCTAGCAGATCAAACTGTCCCCAACCATTGGAATAATGTGGCTGCGTGAGTAATAAGAACGGGTTTCGGATTGGATGATTTCATTTATTAACAGCTGCTTTTACAATCACTCACAATAACTCTCAGACAGGCTTCTCAATTCTGTCTGTCTCCGTTCTGGTCTGGTCTACGACTGGCTTATGGTTTACGACTGCACTGACGAACAGTGCCTGACTGTCTCTTGATTTACGCCTGACTTCATTCTAATCTGATTGACCGCTTGTATAGCGCATCAGTATACTACGAAATGTTTGTTGAATGTTCGTTTACACAGACACGCCTGTTGGTTCCACAGCGACATGTTGGTTTCCGAGAATCTACATGTTTCAATTTCGTATCCTAGGGAACGTTTGTTTACAACCCAGCGACGGCTTGTTTCCAAGTATCGTATCTGCGCGGAAATGTGTTTGTCTACTCGTTTCCTAGAAATGGGTCTACATGTCACAGCATTTTACAATAGTTGACAGTCACTGCGTTCATGTCTATGAATTTATTGCCTATTTAACACGATGACAAGTTATCTTCCTGTAGCCAGCGCGGTGCATTGGCATGAGTTGATGCCCGGAATTCTTTGTACGTATTATACAAGCCCGTGATCAACTGAGCTGTAGAAAGGAGATACTTCAAAGTCGCAAGGATTACAAGAAAAAAACAACCTAACGATCTCGAGCACAAGAGGTAGGTGAGCATGATATCATTCTAAATCATGATTAGGTGACTAGGGAAGCAGGAAAACGTACAGGGAACAGACCACTTAGAAAACCTAGATGCAAAGAAGAGGATGCTAAACGAATCTTAAATTGTGTCAGGATGTAGACTGAATTTATCTGGCTCAGAACAGGGCCCAATAGCGGTTTATTATGGGCATAGTAATAGGAGTTAGAATTCCGTAAAAGACGGACTTTATTAGCTGAGTGACTATCAGATTATCAAGATTAACTCTACTCCAAAGCGCGATTTACTAGATTAATAAGCTACAAATGCCCATCTGTTAAAATACAAAAACACATGACAATAAATTTAAATTTTGTGTTAAATATTTGTGTGATCAAGTACAGAGATAAATATTTAACTTATAGAAAAAATTCCTTATATATTTATAATTATNTTTCAAATCAGAATAATGAACGTTTGAAGCGGTGTCAAACAAATATACCTAGCGTGTTCTCTCTGTACTGCCTTGTAAGATAAGGTAAAGCTATCCCTGTAACAGGCCGTAAAGGCCCATAGGGTTTTGAGACGTCGAGGCTCCCACATTATGTAGAAAATTGGCTCATAGATGACGGTGAGGTTGTCAGCCTTACGCGCCGGCCGCCCTTTATCCCCAGGAAGATTCCTGGCACTCATTTCTGTTAGAGACTGAGTCGGCTTTAGGGCCACAGTGCGTCTGGAAGGATTAGGCGAACTGAAAATTCCAATGACCTCATCGGTAATCGAACCCGCGACCTTTCGGCTTGTAGCATAGTAAGCTTGTAGCATATGTAAGACATACCTTATGTACAGTCGTACCCTGTTTCGTAATAGTGTGTTAAATTTCGGTGAGCAGTATTAGCCTGCAAGCGATCACGTGAAACCAAGGAACACAACTTTAATACACATTAGGAACGACTAAATGATTTCCGTTTCTGTTCCGTTGGCGTTCCTTTCGCCACGAAATGATAACTAGCGTTTGTGAAGTTAGCGAACACATTTATCAAGAACCGAGAAGCCCCATTCTGTATGTTCTGCAACAGATTCACCCCCGTTCCCCTCTCATCTCTGTTTTTTTGTTTTGTTTTTTATTTTCTACCTTTCCAGAAATAGAAAAAGCAAAAGGAGAAAACACACACAACTCTCTCGTAATCGAGTTGCGTCCTCCCACAGCACAGAGCTACAGCAGGGTCAGACACAGCCTGCCTTGATTTCCCTTCGCCCCCCCCCCCAGTCCTCTCCTTCTATAACTCTAAACTGTATCCCAGATCGTACTCATGGGGGCAACTGACCCCAGGATGTTTCGGTTACAACCCCCGTTTCCGGGCCTGCATGAAAACAGCTGGTGCAAAGGGTCTGCTAGCAGGTTTCTGTTACAGCAAGGAGATGGATCTGGTGTTCCCAAGATTGATGGCAGCGCCTCTGTGGTCACGACAGCGTAACAATACGCTGCCTCCCTTCTGTATCGGAAAACCCGGCAGCCTTCCCCAAACAACCACATTCATCATTCTTATGGTTTGTGACACCGTCTAATCTGGTAGGTAGTTCCTCTGAGGAACCTGCTACCTCCTTCAATCAGAACATAAAGGCATGAGGTTCATCCCGAATGCTTGCAGGCACTTACCAGGCTATACGGTGCCACAATCCAGAGGATCACAATTGAAATGTTCACCGCCACGAAGACCTCACGCATTATACTAATTCAACAGTGTTTCCGTCCGGTGTCTACTGAGTGCTGCGCGCTCATCTGTCATGACAAATCTTGAAAAGATCGTAATTTATAATAGATTATACAAGCTAATTGAAGGGACTCGTATCTCAACCCTTCAAAGCACAGTGGTAACTATCTGTACAATCTGCTTCAGCATTTAAACATTCCACATTTTTCTCAGTGAGTGTGTTCAGAGGACTGGTATGATTTTTAGAATTAACAGCATTCATTTATCTAATTAATTTTTTTCCATTGGCGCTACAGCCCTCATTTGGGCCTAGCCTACCTCCATGAACTTCTCCGTTCACTTCGGTCTACTAGATCTTACACATTCGGTAGGACTCCTTGGGCGAGTGATCAGCTCGTCGCAAGGCCTCTACCTATAGAAAAACACAGAATAAACGCACACAAACATCCATGCCCTGAGTGGGATTCGAACCACAATCCAGTCTTCCGAGCGAGCGAAGACAGTGCATGCCTTAGACCGCTCGGCTACCGTGACCGGCAATTAAAATTTACAAAACTATAATTTTTTCCTGTAGTGTTGTATATATATCAAAGTTTGTCTCTGACATTAAGGGGAGAGCATATACTGAACGTATTTGGGAGGGGAGTGGATGAGGGGAGTATTGCGATCGAAAGGGGAGGAACAGGTAGCAGGTCCTTATTCAATTTCTCATTGAGGAGCTTCGTAACTTGCACTTTTCGCCAAATGTAATTAGAATGAGGATGCCGAGATAGCCAGAGCATATAGCACACATGAAAGAAAGCGGAATTCGTGCAGGATTTCAGTAAGAAAGCCAAAGGAAAGGGTTCACTAGGGAGAACTAGACGTTGATGGGACGACATATGAAAAAGGACCTTAGAAAAATAGGAGGGATGGAATGGGGTGGACTTATCGAGCTCAGCAGAGGGAACAGTGGAGGGCTTTTGTGGTCACGGTAACGAACCTTAGGGTTCCATAAAATCTTTGGAAATTCCTTAGTGCCTAAGCGACTTACGGTTTCTCTAGAAAGACTCAACTCCATTGAGTTAGTTAGTAGAGAATTAAATGCCTTATCCCTGTAATGAAGATGCAGTTGTTCTTTGGGAGGTAGACAAGCTCAGTTGGAAATGTCTTGTGGATGAACTGCATGTTGCAATGAGGTTAAGAGATTAACCGCCTCGGATGAAGTTCACAACTGCTCGTGTTCTGGGCAGGTTCTTTACAGCTGTACGTAACTACCTGTTAACTTTAGGAAGATTACTGAATTGTCATTTTATTTTAAACAACTAACTTTAGAAGAAGGCCGCGCCGTAGCCCAAGCGGTTAGTCGCTGGCTTCCCACCACGGCGGCCAGGGTTCGATCCCGGGTCTGGTCAGGTGGGATTTGTGATGGACAAAGTGGTGCTGGAGCAGGTTTTCTCCGAGTACTTCGGTTTCCCCTGCCAATCTTCATTCCACCAATTGCTCCACAATCACCCTCACCTATCATCTGGGGCTGGTACAATAGGCCAGAAATGGCCGCAGTACAAGGGACTTAGTCCCACCCCACTAGCAATAAAAATACTCTATAGAAGAGAGCATTTCTTGAGAAGCTAGTATTTGCTCAGCTAGTCCCGAAATTCCACGCCTTTTATGTAACC